CGCGGCTCTCGGTAGCTAATGTCAACACTACTAGAGGGATGTGAACATATGCTTGGCATTGGCAAGAAAGGGGTTAATTTTACAGGAAAAGTATGAGAAGAATTGCAAGATTGACAAGGCAAAGGGTAGATATCCTAACTTCAAGTCCAGGCTCTCCCACTGGCTTGGGAACTTTACCCAAATCTTTTTTCAGAAAGAAAGGGACCTCGCTTGTCAAATGCAGAGCATCTATAGATGGAGCATAAGGCTGTATTAGGAGCCCGACTCTCAGAGAGACAGTGTGGCTTCTGGTTTTTCATCTTTGTTCTTCGGAGTTTGGGTGTTGATCTAGGAGACATAAAATCCTGCCACTCCTAACACATGATTTCTCTTCTCACTGTTTGGAGTGAGCCATGGCTCACACGATGGATTCACTTTCTATAATTGAATTTAAAGAGAGTGGTTGTTTTTCAGTTTGAGACCTTTAAAAGACATAGTCAAAACTCCACAGTCATCGCAGGTTTATTTTGTTGTTGCTCTTTGGGTTGTTTGCTTTTTGCTTGGTTGGTTGGTTGCTTGGTTGGTTGATTGGTTGGTTTTTCAAGACAGAGTCTTTCTGTGTAGCCCTGGCTATCCTGGAACTCACTCTGTAGACCAGGCTAGCCTTGATCTCAGAGATCCTCCTGCCTCTGCCTCCTGAGGGCTGGAATGACAGGCATGCGCTCCCACGGTCCAATTTCATCACAAGATTTTAGAGGTCGAGTGTGGAAGTTGTTTCTCAGTGAATTAGAGCTCTTGGCAGGCTGGCATGAGGCTTGGGGTTAACTCCAAACACCAAAGATAAGTTCAAAAACTACTGAAAAACAAAACTCCAAAATTCATATTGAACTTTTTGATCCCTTAAACATTTATAGGAGCCTTGGAAAGAAAAGTGGGATTATTCTGAGTTATCAAACATCACATATTTTCCCTAAATTTTACAAAACTTGATTTAGCAACCATTTTCACAAGGACCCAGTGACTAGCATGTAGCAATAGTGAAATCATTAAGTGGAAATCAGAACCCAAGTCACTGGCAATAAACTTAACATTATTCTGTGGGTACCCATAAGCCAAAGCCTGCAGCTCAGTTCTGATCTGACTATGATGGCAAATGTCAGTCAATCTTGCCAATGTGATTTGTGTTTTTAGAAGGAAACTCATCTCAGCACAGCAATGAGCTCACATTCCTATGCTCTTCCTAGACTCCTCTAGCCCAAATGCGCACAGTATCAACGCACTCACATTCATATGCTGTCCCTAGATTCCTCTAGCTCAAACCCGCAGCATTTCAATGACTGTTGGATCTATGAATTCACTGGCACCCACACACCATTTTCGTTCCTGTGCTGAAGAAAATATCCATTGGTTTCTCTTACGCACTGATCTGGGCCCAGAAAGCCCAAACCGACGCTATCCCAGCAGACATGCCCAGTGGTTAATCTCTAGTTATACACTGAGTGAGAAAAATTTTAAATTTCGCATCTCTCCTATACTGTACCTTCAATTAATAGGCTTTAGCAATAGGCAAATATTAAAAGTGATAGATTTCAATTTCAACATGTAATAATTTATTACTGAAAACCAGTGGAAACAAAAATTTTCCTGTATCTTTGCACAGAACACCAACTGTGCTCTTCTGCCTTCTCATGCCAGAACAGGCATCAGCTGACGGTAGGATCCTGGGCCATTTTACCAACTCAGGGCATATGACAGTTTCATTGAACACGAAGTCTGGGGGGAAAAAATCTAATTACGGCGAAGGATCTGTCTTATCACTTATTACTGCCCATCATGAAGCTATGGCAAGGCGGGATCTACTTAAGGTGATGGTAAAACCAACACCCCAGTCTCAGGTCAGCGTGAAAGGCTGCTGATGCTTGGCAGTACATAAGCATGCCGTTAACCCTAATGTATTCACTCTGACGATACTGATACTCTTGGAATTCTTCTTGATAGTGGACACCTGAATGTGCAGGGGTTTTTTTTTTTAACCTGATTTCTTGTTTGCTAGACTGTCTTTGAGTCATCTTGCTACATCAAACACTGAAATAAATAATACATCCCCACATCGGTTTTCAAGTCCAAGACTAGGTCTCAACTATTCAACCATCACCCTGTTTCCTCTCACTGGGTCTTCTTTGATAAGATCAGTTGTTTTGATTTCAAAGCATGGCAATGTAAGAGCTAGGTCTAAAACTCAGTCAGTAGCATTTAAAGGATGTAAGCTAAGGGGCTGGAGAGATGGCTCAGAGGTTAAGAGCATTGCCTGCTCTTCCAAAGGTCCTGAGTTCAATTCCCAGCAACCACATGGTGCCCTCTTCTGGCCTGCAGGCATACATGCAGACAGAACATTGTATAAATAATAAATAAATAAAGATTTTTTTAAAAAAAGAGAAAATATCACTGTCAAAAAAAAAAAAAAGAATGTAAGCTAAATCTGAATTCTGGTTCCTCAATCATTAAGTCTGGAACTTGGGGCAAATGACTTAATGGCCTTATCCTTGGCAGGGGATAATGATACAGCGAAAATGTGGAGCATGTCCCTCGTGCAGTTATTGCAGTAAGCAAGTTAAAGCATGCAAATTGTAGAGTACAGCGGGTGCTTTAACTAGTGATAGCCAATGAGCGGAGAACTAGCAACCGGGTGGAGACAGGGAGCGATGGTGACCCTAGAGAGGCATGCAGTGGCATTTGGCAGTCCCTCAGAAAACAATCACTCCCGGGTACTCTAGTTGAGGCTGGCACCCTGCTCTCCAGGCTGCTCACACTGCCATCCCCGTGCTGGTGACGAAACCGTCATTCTAACAGAAACTTGTATCCTTTGCCGCGGATCCTGGCTTTGCTGCAACGTGACGGGCTAACCCGTCCCTCTTCAATTCTCTAGTTATATTCAACATTTAACGGCAGGAGACTTCAAAGAACACAGTCGGGTGGCACAAAGTACAAACACGTCACACACGTCCGAAGCACACAAGGACACCTGGCCAGTTTAAATGTGCACGTGCACATGTGTGAATTTGCACAACACAAAACAATTCAAGGTAAGGCAAAAAAAAAAAAAAAAAAAAACACCCTTGAGACAATTATATCTCAGGGATCTTAGAAATAAGAGACCACCCCAGTCTACTTAACAGTATATTCAATGAGAATCCATCTACATCGCTAGACTCATGAAGTCTTCCTTCTCTGTTTTGTCTGTGTTAGTGAGAGAAGATCGACACAATTAATTTGGAAACAATCATTTTCACACTAGACTCTGACGCTTGTCTCCCACATCCACAACAATAAAAGAATATGTTACACATGACACGCTCTACGGGCACACAACACTAGAGACTGCTTGAACGAGATTACACAGTGAGGTCACACATCTTCGTCTCCATTATCTTATGACTGTGAGCAGAACAGGTTTGAAACTGCGGCATGTAAGGTACGAAGGTCTTCTTAGCGGAAGTTCCTAAATTCAAGTTATTTTCTACAAAGTGTGAGCAACTCTCCTGGAGGATTCGGATGTCACTAAACAGACAGTGGGCTGGGAATGGGCACAATACTCCTGAATCGTCAGTCAAAAACATATCAGTCTCTCTTTTTTTGATGGAGGTGACCCCTAAATAATAGATAGACTTCTCACTCGGATCTTCTTCAGGGAAATTCCCTTCCAGTTCCAAAAGTTCATCCAACCCCGAGGATGAAACTGGTGGAGAAATCGTGTTGGGTTGCTGATCTGATAACAGGAAAAACGCCTGCGCCTCTATCTCCCAGGAGCTGCTAGGGAAAGATGCTCTCAGTGGGGAGTGTTCGCTGGAGATGCTCTTGCTGACAGAGCCATGTAGAAGCTCTTGCTCTTCCTCCGTTTCAACCGTTTTCGAGTGGCTGACGAGCGTTGCATATTTCACTGAAGATTGTCTCTGACACTCATCCTCACAAGTTACCTGGGTGCTTGGAGCCCCAGAGAAGGTGGCGCTGTTACACTGGTCACTAATACAAAGAGAACCTCTCTCAGGGTCTGGAGTGGTCAGAAGAAGCGAGACCATAGCTGCTGGTACCATCTCATCTTTATTTTTCCAAGCTGGATCGACGCTGATTTCTTCTGAAATGGGTTCGGGCTCCAGAAGAAGAGGACCAAATATCACTGACTCTGCATGCTTGGTGAAAAGATGCTCAAATGTTTCCGGCTAAAAGAAAAGACACATTTTAATGTTCAGTTTGTTACAACTTCATTCTTTCACACCTGCAGAAAGGCCAGCCTATAAGGTTAAAAACAAGGGATGCCAGCCAACTACAAATAACACAGTTTGGGGTTGAAAACTTGAAATATTAAAAACCAGAAGGGAGAGACAGTTTTGGCTTTCCAAAGTCAGACTTGTGGTTTTCAAATGGTACAATCATAAACACACAACTCACTCTTCAGTGGTAAAAATGAGCTGGATATTCCATTATGGCCATGGGCCACAAGTAAGTGAGCCATAGCTGCAAATGCTTCAGCCTCCATGGAGCCTGGGCACTGTGACTGGAGAATTCTCTCCTCAGAAAAAGCCGTTCTATGTTATAGTGGTCATCCTATTTTATAAGTGATTCTATCTGATAACAACTTCTACAAAATGACTTCTGAAAAAAGCCATTCTATGTTATAGCAAATTCCACAAAATTAAAATTTGATCTCTAGGCATGAAAACCAACCAACAAACAGAAAACCAGGTTGGAATACAACAGAAGGAGCGAAACAAGTTTTCTAGAGATAGTACCAACAACTGCTTCATACCGCAGGATACGATGCAGAGGGGGAGTAACTGACTCTCATACCTGCCTCTGGCCACACTGAGAATCTGCTTAAGGGTAGACAACCAATGGCACTTACTTGCTGAAGATGATGAAAGAGACACTGACAGACTTGAACACTGTTATTCCTTATACATAACTTCATGTAAAGATATATCCTATGGAACACATGGAATGAAGACAAACACGCAAGACAAATGTACAGCATGTTTTCTTTTTATAAGAACAAGGGTTACATAACAATGAAATCCTGTCAAGCAGCTACAAATCAAAAATCTGCATGCAAAAAGCTCAGTACAAACAATGTAAACTTAAAACATAGAATTCAAATAAAAATACTGCAAATATATCACACTGAATGGATAACACATCTAAGTAGAAAGTACGTTCAGTTCATAGATCATACGTGTGATTTAGCTTCTGAATGTTATAGTTTTTTAAGCTAATAAAATGAATTCTGAGTTATGGCCTGAGATAGCAGTATACTCAAATGTTCTTCACAATGGCAAGCATATCCCATATAAAAACACAGCAGTTGCAAACTCTTAGCTGAAATATATTAGTGATTAAACAGTAGAGGAATAAATATACTGAACACTAACTATTGTAATGGCATAGACCTATGTCAGTGTTAAAATACTGATTGACAAACACTGCTAAAAATGCTGTGAGTGAGAAGAAAATGGATCCTACTCCCACACTGTTTCTGACAGGAATCTGTACATTTGTGACTTCCTCCAAACATTCTAATTTTCCCCTTAATATTTCTACTACATATATTGCTGAATTTTTTAAAAAGTTTAAATGAGCTTGACATCCGATCCTTTCATTTTGCTTCTTTCTACCAATATGGAAAAATAGAAACAACATACAGCATGCAGTTGAGTTCATGTGTGTTTTTCAAATGATCTGTTCCATCTCCTCCATGGGGCCTAAACCTTCTTTTTTTAAAAAATATTTTTGATGGTTTATTTAACTTTATTTTATGTGCATTAGTGTGAAGGTGTCAGATCCCCTGCAACTGGATCTTCAGACAGTTGTGAGCTGCCATGTGGGTGCTGGGAATTGAACCCGGGTCCTCTGGAAGAGCAGTCAGTGCTCTTAACCACTGAGCCATTTCTCCAGCCCCGGGCCTAAACCTTCTTAATGTACAGCTAATTGTGGAACAAGTCATGGGCATCTTAAAAAGCATCCATGTAGAAAGTTTAAATAATAAATGCTTTTAAACAACACATTACTGAACTATATATTATCAATGGTCACAGAACTTCTTCAAAGTATGTTTGTTCAAAATTTATTTCACTCTGTGGATATAAGAATTGAAAAACAACCTTTCACAAGTTTGCAGCTAGACATTTATAGTACAATGATGTCTATTAATATTAAAGGAAGGAAAGGGGGTACAACCCTCCTAGTGTCTTAACTTTCTTTAGATTTCCAAATAAAATTACCAATCACATCTAAGTGACCCACATATCTTAAATTTGAATGTTATTTGTGTCCATCGATTTGGTTTAGTTTGAATGTAAGCAATAAAGTCTATACTATATATTAACAGATATGGCAAGACATCTGTTTTTCAGGGAGAAAAGCCCTGTCTTTACCAGGACCTATTTTTAAAATCCCAGAAAGTCTCCCGTTCTTGCACACCTCCCTGTCTGCCAGAAGTCTTCGGCTGATTCAGTGGAAATAAATTGATTCATGGAGGTTGTTACTCTCTTCTGCTCTGGGCAATTTGACCTGCGTGTGTAGGGTTATCCTGAAATGAAGGATAGCTTCCACTGGTCTATGTGGGGTTATCCTCATATGAAACACAGCTTCCATTAATGTGTGGTCTATGTGGGGTTATCCTCATATGAAACACAGCTTCCATTAATGTGTGGTCTATATGGGGTTATCCTCATATGAAACACAGCTTCCATTGGTGTGTGATCACCACAAGCCACAACTTCTGGCTTTCTTTAAACTAAAATAAGAGTTAGAACTTAAGTCATGTTCAAGACTATAGAAAACTAAAATTCCTAGATTATTCCAAGTTTGGTACACAAAAGCCATGTTATTCAGAAGAATCTGAAATTCATGAATTTATAAGTGTCCAAAAAAATCTAGTAGAGAAGCTTTCACACATAGAAATAGAAGCTAAATACCTTCCCTGTAGTGTGTGTGTGGGGGGGGGGCGGCCGGGGGCGGGGGGTCTTTGCAAAGCTGGATGTCAGAAGTTACCTGTTCGAGCTCCCTAGTTCCAGCAATCTTGACTACATTTCTACCACATTTGGAAACAGAATATGTTCCGACCACAACAGTCACACCATTAACATTTTATGACCAGAAAAATAAAAATTTGAAAGCAGAGACCATGATTATTAATATCAAACTTTAGGTGTTCTGATAATTAAGCATATACCCCAAATGAACTACATCAAACCCACATAGTGGCCACAAACGTACATGTCTCTATTAAGTTCATCATATGTTAGTTCTTAGTAATTCAAACAATAGTTTGGGTTTGTTTCCCTCTTTCAAAATGTAAACATCTTCTAATACTCTATGGACTGCTGGGAAGTTGGTACATTGGGTTCATCTGTGGTGGTCATGAGAGACTTCAAAGAATGTCCGTTCTCTGTTTAAATAAAATAGAACAAAATAAGAAAGCAAAATAAAATGGTCATGCAGAAAGCCAACGACAAAAGATTCCAACCCCTCTCTTTCCATGGACTCAGACACTATGTTCTTGTGTTGTGTTACAGTGATGTACATAGGAGAGGGGAGGGCCAGGGTCTTGGAGGGACTTCTCTCTCCTTACTGAATGCTAGGGATAGTCTAAAGACCAGGCCGATCACTCTAGCAGGGAAGACTATGGCAGCAGTAGCAGAATAGGTAAAAGAACAAGGACTCACAGAAGAAAGAGGATAAAATCAACAGTAACACTGAAGAGTGTGAGGGGTGGGAAAGGATAAGGGTTAAGTGATGAGAAGAAAAAAGTAAAAGGAAGACAATAGACTTTGTTCCCCGGGTGCTGATTTTTGGGAAATTAAAGTGATGTGATAGGCATGTGAGAAATGGACAAGAGGAAGAACAATCTTTCCTTTAAAAAAAAAAAAAGGTAGTTCAAAAAGTTTCTGTTTGAAGAAAAACTGAAAAAGTAAGTTTTTCTAAAGTTGCAGAGAACCCAGAAAGTCACAGAGCAGTGCACAGATGGGCAAACCTGTCAATGCCCGTGAATCCCTGACAGCATCCTCAAGCTGCTCTAGGAGAAGACAGAATTTAGGGACAGAAAAGTGGCCTGCTGAGATTAAAGGCAACACAGTTGAAAGTCTTGGCGACTCGGGGAGGAGAGAGGCAGGAGACTACAGTGTCAATAGTCTATCCTAAGCTACACACTTGTATTCCTCTCCAGCTCTTCAAAGGGCAGACAGAAGGGCCAGGGCATGCACCCGAACAAACACTGGCAGCCAGGCTTCCTGCCAGCAGGGGTGGTGGGCGGCTCAAAACAGAGAAAGGTGGAAAATGATGAGCTGCCCCTTGGAAAAGAGGAGGGGGGTTCACTAGGCTGAGTTCACAGACTGGAGACACCACCAGACCAATGGTGAGCTGGGATACTTGCCAGGAAAGCTGCAGACATGACATGCAACCAGCCCAAGAGAGAGAAGCAGGCTGCAGTCAATGCAGCTGGAAGGAGGCGAAGATCTGAAGAGCCCTTTGACATCAGCCATGGAGATGCAGAATCTGGAGTTTGCCCTGATGGGTTTCAGTCTTTGGTCCAACATTTCCTCAACATGCTACCTTTCTTCCCTTCTGGAATGGTAATATAGAGTCTGTGCCATTGTATGTTGGAAACATGTGATTGGCTTTTTGGTTTTGGTTTTTACAGGTTTTACAGCTAAAGGATTTTCCTTGAGTCTCAGAAAAGACATGGACTTTGGACTCTGAACCGGTGTAGAGACTATGAAAAACTCTGGGAACTTTTGAGTTGGCCTGAAAGCAGCTTTCAGTATGACACAGCTGCAAGCCTAGAGGGGCCAGGGACGCTGAATGAAAATTGCCCCCACTGGCTCATCTATTTGCATGCTAACCTTGTTGAAGTAAGTGTGGTCTTGTTAGAGGAGGTGTGCCCCTGGGGGTGGGCTCTGAGGTTTCAAGAGCCAACCCCCGGCCCAATGTCTCTCTGTCTTTCATCTTGGTTCAGGATGTAAAGCTCTGGGCTACATCTCCAGCACCATGCCTTCCTGTGTCCTGCCGCATTCTGCACCATGATGATAATAGACTAATTTCTAAAGCTGTAAGCAAGCCTTCAGAGTTGAATGAATTCTTTTATTTTTTTTTTAAATTTTTTCCCTTTTTCCTTTAAATTTATTATAATATACAATATTCTGTCTGCATGTATGCCTGCAGGCCAGAAGAGGGCACCAGATCTCATTACAGATGGTTGTCAGCCACCATGTGATTGCTGGGAATTGAACTCACGACCTATGGAAGAGCAGGCAATGTTCTTAACCTCTGAGCCATCTCTGCAGCCCTGAATGGTTTCTTTTAAAAGAGTTGCCTTGGTCAAAGTGTCTCTTCACAGCAATAGAACACTGACTAAGACAGTATTGCTTTTGATGTAATATAAGCGAAAGAAATGAAAATGTTAAAAGAGGAGAAAATTAATTTTAGAGAAAAGTTAGAAATGAGCTTAGATGTTTGGGTCTTATAGGTATAGGGCACATTCATAAAAAGTAATGCTCCTCCAAATCAGGATTTGAAAAATAAAGGAAATTTATAGATTTAAAATATATTACTTAAAAAAACTACTGAATCAGGCTGGGCGGTGGTGGCACACACCTTTAATCCCAGCACTCGGGAGGCAGAGACAGCCAGATCTCTCTGAATTCAAAGTCAGCCTAGTCTACAGAGCTAGTTTCAGGACAGCCAGGGTTGTTACACAGAGAATCCCTGTCTTGAAAAACCAAAAAAAGAAAAAGAAAAAACTACTGAATCTGAATTGGTTTTTAAAAACATTGGGTTTCTATTGGCTGTTTCCTTTGCAGTATGCCCTGGGATATATATTTGCCTATCTATTCCTTTGTCTTGCAATAAATATGCCATATTTTGATGATTCATTTATTATTTGAAGGTCATTTGGATTTTTATTCAAATTCAGGTTATTATTGACAATTCTTTTATGAATTTTCATAAATACATATTCGTGCAAAAGTTTCTTCATTCTTTTGGTAGAAATGTTAGGGTAGATGGCTGAGTGCTGGTTTCAGATGGAAAGACCTGCCAGACTCTTCAAAGCCTGCACTGTCTTTATATTCCTAAGGGGCAGTCAGAAAACTTCAGTGTCCCTACTGACTAGTATTTCTGTCTTTTCTGTGATGGACATCCCACAAGCTGTGGAGGGTACCTTGTGGATTTAACTTGCATTTTTCTGATATTTAAAGATGTTGACTATGTGTTCACTTGTAAATATAAAGGAGATTTTGTCTTTTACATATATGGTCTCTAGAAAAATCAGATCCTGGACCTAAAGGTTTTTTTTTTGTTGTGTTAAAATAAATGTAACATCCAATCGACCATCTCATTTATCTTTGAGTGTGTCATTTAGTGAGTATTAACCACACTAGGGGACACAATGGTAATATGAAATTGATGGCAAGAATTATCACTTTGTCAGAGGGACTTGGGTGTGAATCCAGGTTTTAATAAGACCCGGTTGGGTATGTAGTCAGGGCAAGCTACCAACCCACCCTCAACCTATCTTGTCATTGATTCTTTTTTTTTTTTTAATTTATTTATTATGTTCTGTCTGCATGCGTGCCTGCAGGCCAGAAGAGGGCACCAGATCTCATTGCAGATGTTTGTGAGCCACCATGTGGTTGCTGGGAATTGAACTGAGAACCTCTGGAAGAGCAGTCAGTGTTCTTAACCTCTAAGCCATCTCTCTAGCCCCTTGTCATTGATTCTTAATGGTGTATCTTTGCTACACCCTAAAAATACATAAACACTACATATACTGAAAAAGAGAAAGTGAAATACTTGCAAAGGTAAAGAGAAATCTCTCACAAATGGGGATATTCATAACCCTCTGTCTTTTAAAAATAATTTACACATTATGGACTGGAGAGCTGACTCAGCAGTTAGCAGCGCTTCCAGATCTTCCAGAGAACCTGAGTTTCTTTCCCAGAACCCAGGTCAGGTAGCTTCTGTCATTTCCCACTCTGGGGCCTCTGGTGCCCTCTTCAGGCATCTGTGTATACCTGCACACACACACACACACACACACACACACACACACACACACACACATAAATAAAATCTTTTTTAAAATTCACTCCAATTTCCAAGACTCTGGAAGTTTAGGGTGGTCTTTCAATTTACTTAAAATCTCTGCCAGATGCTCTGCCAAATCCAGCATCATCCTCAGCTCCAAGAGGGGCAAGTGAGACACCAGGTAAGCCAGAGACTAAAGATGACCACTGATTGACCCGACCTAGGTCCTTTCATTTCTGCCAGGCATTTGGAAAGGAGGGCCACACCCTGTCTTGAGTAGAAGTTAGATTTCCTTTCCACAAAAATATGAAGATAAAATGCCGAACATGCCATGCTGGACGGGGGGAGGACTTTAGCTTCCTTTAGAGGCAGCACAATGACTGCCTTGAAGCTTTACGGTTTTTATTTAGATAAGCATTTGGTTGTTTTAACTTAGAAAAGAAAACTTTGTTTGTAAGAGGAAAATGTGCCTAGTCTGTTCTCTGTGTTTCCAGTTTGAGAATGCATCACCGGTTGACTGTGAGAGTATCTACACTAACATCATGGAGTCAGGTAACGACTCTCCATCATCCGGGACTGACTGAAATACCATTCCTCTTCCTTTTTTTAATCTTTCTTCTTTCTCTTATGCTTGTTTGTTTCTATGTAACCTAGGCAGGCCTCAAAATCACTATGCAGCCCTGGAACTCACAACCCCCCCCCCCTTCTGCTTTCCAAAACCTTGGATATGTATTCCAGGTGTGCACCTTCACAACCAGATCAAACGTCAATCTCTTAATCATGCCCACTCATACCCATCCATGCTCCAAGACAGGTTTCCACATCCTAGCCCTCAGCACACTGGAGCTTAGACCTGCGAAGTGATTTCTAATGATGACCTGGTAAGTGTTTATCGTCCCCCACCAGACTGTACAATCCAGGAACATACAGAGGGTTTCTTACCAATATAGCCCCAAGGTATAGCAAAAGTGATTGGCAAAGGACAGGTCTTCAGTAAAATTACAAACTGAGAAAATGAATACATGGGAAGTGAAAAATGAACAAGTGTCACAGAAGCCAAAAGAGAAGTTCTGATTCCTTCCACCTAGCCACTCTTCGTGGACTCTGCTCTTGGAAGACAAGGAGGATGTCTTAAAAGCCTGCTCTCGAGTTTCGCGGCAATCTCTCCTTATCATCTGTAAACACTCGCTCTGTGCCCATTGCACACGTCCATGGATGATGCGCGTGTGCATCCGAGATGCCACCACGATTATGAGAAATGCGATCGCATGAATCAGTTGTGGAAGAAAAAGAAGAGTGGTATTTTGTGAGTTGAAAACAACTCAGGAGCACTCCTGAAATAAAAGGAGCCCCGGGTGAGAGGCTGGGAGGGCACAGCGGGGGAGTCAGAGGCAGAAGAAGCTAGCATTGGAGAAAGCAAAAGATGCCACAGAGCGCATGCTTATATGCAAAACCGCACAGCTGCCGCTTCTGAAAACAGGCTGTTAGTTCATCTGATGGGAGACTCTGACTCAAGCAGCTGAGCGGCTTGTGGTGTGTGCACCGGGACCTGCTTCTCATGGGCTAGTTGCAATGCTGTATCCTGTTATCTGCAAGTCACGTGCCATTTGAAGGCTGGGGATCAGGTTAGTGGGTTGCTGATAGCATTTTTTTAAAAATGAAAGAGTTAAAACCGTTTTTTCTCTTTTCTCTTCCCAGCAAGATGTTTTCTACAAAATTTCTCTCATTTTTTTCCATGCCTATATATCTGTGCTAGGCTGGAAGAGAAAACATATTTCTCCCCATGGGTCGTGTCAATATCTAGAATAGCTACAATTAGAATAAATTATAATTGGGGAAGCTAATCCTGGGTCTAGAATAAGACACCTCACCAGTATAAGCTTTTGTTTTTCTCTCCTACATTCGATGACAGAATACCCCAGGGGTAACTCAAAGTCTATCATGTATAAATATGTAAATAGTAGCATAAAACAATAACTGATACTTATTAAGACCTTTAAATGCTGCAAGTATTGAAAATCTTTCAACTACAAATCTCCATCACTGAGTTTTATTTATACTGCATCCTTCCGATTGCAGCATCTGAAAATAACACGTACTTGTAAGTAATTGTGACAATTAAGTGGTAGAAACATAATATCGATTCTGAGCTTTTTGCCTAAAGACAGCTCATTTGTACTGAAAAAAAAAAGTCAGTCAACTATCTATTCTCCGTCTACGATGATCCTTTCCATTGTAGTATTTATTCCTTAGTTCACCATGACCAGAAAAGAAGATAGGTGTGTTGTCCGCTCTCATGGGATGAAGGCTGAATTTTGTCTCCTCTGACCAAAGCCTTACACCCGGCTATTACTAAGGACAAATGATGAACAGACTCGTCAAAATGAATTGGACAAAGCAAAGCCTTCTAAGCCTTAAAGATATGGAAAGATCTGGAAGTTCTATCTAAAATGCAACCTGAAAATATTCTGGGTTAAAATACATAAACAGTGACCTTTTGGAAATTAAGTCCTTGTGCCCAGGAACAATTCTTGGGGTTTGGAACGTCTTCCCAAAACAGCTTTTTCATTCTGTAAAGGAGAGATGAAGCCCTGTGGTTAGAAACACACTCAAAATGAAAAGGCATTAACAGCTAGCGAGCACACAGTACCAGCATGAGTGGGCTGGATCGCCTCTCTAGGGCCGGACCCGTGTTTACATTTGATCCCGCAAAGTGATCTCACTGAATGTCTGTGAA